CAAGATCTTGGGGGAAAAGAGCAATTGTATATGAAAAGCAGTTATGGATCCACAGGGCCCGGAAACAGCTGGATCAGCTCGCTGGACCGCAGTCTCTCTTTAGCCCAATTTGCACGGCGAAATTATCACCTCTTTCAAGTCCGCCACCTGTTCAGTACGCGGAAGCCGGCATCCTTAAAATCATAAAACGCTATAATACACAAGTACGTTTGGCCCTCTAGCAATTGAAAAACACATCATCCTGATTTCAATCTGTGTACGGAGGAATTAATTATGCACCGTGTGTGTTGGCTGAGAGAGGAAACAAACATGCAAGATTAGTAGAGCTGAACGCACTGAGCAGCCACCTATTACAATTAACACTTTTAACAAATTGCCCACGGACAGGGGCTGGGGGCAGCAGAGGGGAAGGCAAAAACCAGAGGATGAAAGGAGGAGGGGAAGAGGAGAGATGTGGGATGTGAGAAAGGGGGTGATTGGAAATCCAGAGTAGGTGAGTGTGGGTTGGAGGAGGCAGGAGAAGAGAAGAACGGGCGAGTGGGGCTGGAGGAAGATGGATGAAGAGAAAAAATAAATGGTATTGAGCAGCCAAAGTATCAAGGATGAGAATACACGCAGCAAAAACATTGCTCATTACTCAACGGGGAGTTCCCAGTGCAGCTCCAGTAGCACAAAACATAATTGTAGGAGACCGAAAGGGAGAACTGAGATTGCAATGCCCTCTAATGTTGGAAAAGATTTTTTTTAAGAATTATGAAACAACGCACACCCAGACTTGCTCTGAGGGTGAAGAGCCACCCCAATCCAAATAATTACATTCATAGATAACCATTTTGCATCTGGAAAAACAGCTTACGAGCGATATTAATGCTGTCCTGATTACCATCAGAAAAAAAGGTTGCATTGAGAATGATCATTGCTAACATATTTTTCATATTCTGCCAGTTAATACTCAACCAGATGTTCATATCGAAAGTGTCGTCACATTCTTCACTGTTTATTCTTTGGTTCTCTGCTAATAGTATAAGATTAGCTTGAATCATGAACGCGGATGGGACTCGTGTCCTAGAGGTGTGATAATAAGGGGGAAAACAGAAGAGGAGAGGATTTGGTGAATGAGGGTCAGGAGGGACATAAGAGGAGAGAAGCTGGTTCAAATGAAGGAATTAAATTAACCTTGCCTTATGGGTTACAATCACCCCCTCTCACATCGCCCTGGTCCCGAGCCACCTTGAACCTTTCTCTTACCCTGTAAGTCAAAAGTATTTATATGATCAAGCGGCTGACTGCGACAGACATATCTCGCTCCCCCCGAGGAGCCGGCCGTAAAACCACGGGATTAAGTGTGCGTTAGAGTCTGCGGTGCGCTAATGGTCCACGCGAGAGTGCTTCTTTTTTTTGGCCTCTGAGCTCCTCGTTAAACCTCGTTATTAATTGTGCGTAGAATATCAATCGATGGTTGACAGCGGAGAATGATGACCAAAATACTGGTCCGGTAGCTAACGCAGGTAGATGATAAGAGGGCGGGGTATTAATGGACGAGATCAATCAATGACTTAATGATTAAAGCTGGACTTGGTCGTCGGCGGCAATCAATCTCTGGTACCCAGAGATGGGATACAAAGGCTAGTTGGAGGAGCATTCCACACTGATGACCAGATTAAATTACGCCACCGAAGGGACGACTGATGCTTTTCGGTTCAGCCATGCTGCAGAAACAAGGCCCTGCATTCCCACGGCGCGTGTATTTATGAATTAAATGAGGCATTTTTTCACCCCGGGGTTTAATTACTTCACATTCGGCGGACCAGCTTTAACAACCTGTTTGAATCCCTAAGCCCACCGGTGACCACCGATGGATTACACGACCGTCCAAAAGACAATTAGTGCTCCGGGATTGATCCGCGTTAGTCCTCTGATTGAGTGCGGGAGAAATCCACACCGTCAGGAAACCGGGGAGACGGTTCATCGTTCAAAGGCGGCGGCGGGAACGCGCTCCAACGCCCATCCGCTGCAAAGGTGCAGGTTGTGAGGTTTGCGAGACGCTCTCGGCCTTCATTCCGACAGGCTGAATGTAGCCAAGAATACATTTGAGTGCCCGGGAGACAGTAAGAAATGTGTGTGTGTGTGTGTGTGTGTGTGTGGGGGGGGGGTTGCCTTGTGTGGATGTGCGCACACGTGCGATTGAGTATGTTTGGTGAGTAAATTAAGCCTCAGGAGCCACGGGGACAAATCTGACAGACGAGCGGAAGAGTCGCAGCCCGGAGGAGAGATGAGAGCGCAGAAGAAGTGCTGAGCAGAGGAGAGGAAAACAGAGGGGCAGGGGACAGGAGAGGAGGGGAGAAGGGGGGGGGGGGGGGGGGGCGGGGGAGGTGGTTAAGATGAGCAGAGCAGCGGGGAGAGCAGATGAAACAGACACGAGGGGGCTTTGGGAGGGGGGTGGGGGGGGCGCCGGGGGAGGGAGGGAAACATACAACGATTTTTCATCATTCGAAAATTAGGCTCTTTGTGAAATTACGAGGCATTCAAAAACACACACAAACACACACAAAAAGAGTGTGTGTTATAATAGCCTGTCGGATTGGGCGAGCTGGATTGCTGGAACCTCTCATCAGCCCCCCCCTCCAAAGATTGTCCTCTTGACCTCATTTTATTACACCGAGACGTGGTGGAACACTCGCCCCTCAATTAGAAGCCGGTGTGATGACAAAGGTGCGACCTCTCTGGGGGCCGTGCCGTACGTCTGCGTCAAACGTGTTAAGCAACGGAGAAATTAGCGTTTCTTGTTTTTTTTTGTCCACTGGCTTCAGCGGTGTGTGAATCCATTATCGCCCATTTCATTACTTTACCTTTCAGATTGGTATTTAGAATAGAATTGTAGGTCCATACAATGATTGGTAACCCGCCAAGGGCCAGTAGAGTAGACTAATTCACCGGCCACAGCCAAAATGTATGAGCATTTGGCTGGTGGCTGCTCTTAATTTTCCAGCCTCTTTTTAAAGCCGCGGTCCCGGCAATGTCAGCATGGATCAAGGGGACATTTAATTACACATTTTTCTGCCTTTCTTTCCAGCCTTGATGCAAAAAAAAAAAAGGATTTATTTTGGTTTTAGTTTTTCCATCTACGCAGCTACCTTTGACATTTTATCAGTTCTACTGAAATTTACATTTAGCTTAAAGGTGCTCTGGAGCCAACCTGGAGTGTGTACCACACTCCCACCACGAGGCTTTTGGAGGCATCTGACGCTAGGAGGCTTCTCTAGGGCAGCCACCAGGAGATCAGGGCCCAGATATGTGCCCCAGAGGGGTTCAAATGAGATCTGTTGTGCCCGAGGAAATCCCTGTGTTCTCGTCTCCACGTTAGCTGGACAGACTGAAAAAAAGACACGATCTCTCATCTGTCCATGCGAGTGAACCGTACAAAAAAAGAGGCCTTTGCAAATAGGCTGCAGATTCCTTTTTTTTGGGAGGGGGGGGGTTGAGTCAAGCTACAGTCAGTAGGAGTGCAAGGCCAAGTGTCACTGAAGGAATCATGATCTCCCTACAGTGGGGGGGGGGGGGGGGGGGGGGGTCACCCCGGCTTTACAGAGACAAATGCTTTCTCGTGGACTCCACAGTAGTGTTGGGGGGTTCGCCTGGAACCATTCACGGAACAACAAACTCCACCTCTCCGCTCGCCAGACCTCAACCCGAAATGTCACCAGAAGTTCTGAGACCTAAGCAACTCGGCTCGGTGTTGCCAGAAGCTCAAAAGAGTCGCTTTAAACTCGGTCTGTCTCTTCCCCATGAATTATTTCTCTGCTCTTCTGTCACTCAACTCGCTTTCCTTCTTCCCCTTCGTTCCTCTCTTCATGAGTCAATTGTCCTCCTCCCTGTATATTCCTTTTAACGCCTCCTCTCCCTTCATCTGGTCAACATTGATGCATCGTTTCCATACCATTGAAGCGGATGCAGCATTGATTGTGTTTGTATAAGTATATATATATATATATATGTGTGTGTGTGTCACTGTGTGAGCCCACTAAATTGTGAGTGTGTTCATACATCATTTCTGATAACATTAAAAGAAAAGCTAAAAACGGGAAGCAGGGGAAGTTGCAGACTTAACAAAAAGAAAGTGTGAGACTGAATATTTTAACATGTTATTTTACCCAAAAAGGAAAGAGGGGGAAACACAGCGTGTGTATGTGTGTGTATGGGAGGGGAGCACAACGTACAAGCGTATAAGATAAGAGCAAGAAAACGGGAGCCGCCGCCATTATATAACATTGTTTAACTGAAATAGATTAAGCATATATAGTGGCAGATATTTGGGAATAAAATGCTGTGTAAGGCTTCGAGGTTTCATCGTGATAAACAACTCACGCACACACACGCACTTTGGTATAAGCAGCTCACGTTCTCTGCCACAGCCCAAGGGCTACTGCAAGAATATTTATTGGCTACCAGCTCAATGGCTGTATTGAAGAGTAGGATGGAGAGAGAGGGAAAGAGGGGGAGAGAGAGAGAGAGGGGGGGGGGGGGGGGGGGGGAGAGGGGGGAGAGAGAGAGAGAGAGGGGGGGGGGGGAGAGAGCAAACTGAAGCGAGCTGAAAATGAGGAGATAGGGAAAGAGGCTGTTGCCGGTTCTATCCTTCTTCCCCCTCATCCTCCCTATGAGCCAATTTCTACTTCTCTTCTTCCTCCGCAACACACCATACGTGCACGCACGCGCACACGAGCATCTCCCCTCTCACGCGCACACACGCAGAGACACCTCGCAGACATCCTCACGCGCACGCAGACACAGAACCCCAAAAACACGCACACACTCCCTGCCCCCCTCCACAGGCGCACACAAGCAGAATCTTTCGTTTTTTACCGCAGAAGAAGAAAAAACGAACTCGGCACGCAGTCTTAATCAAACTGCGAGTGTGCACGTGAGGGCGTTTATGTCACTGCGCGCGAAGTGCCCTTATGACAGCGCGCTTGCGTGTGCGTGCGTGTGTGTGTGTCGCATACCTTCCGCGCGCAAGGAGAGCGAGCTCAGAACGAGACTCCACAGAAAACAGCGCATCGCCGTCATCCTCCCGCTGATCCCTCTCGTCCTCCTCTTCGTCGTCCCCCTCTTCATCCTCCGCTGTGACGAGCCGGGGTGCGCGAGGCGGCCCGTGCCGCTGTCGGTGTGATCAGTGTCGGTGTTGTTATTAACAGCTGTACATCTTGCGCGAGCCGAGCGCGAGCCCTCTAAGCTCTCACCGGGCCGCATGCTGCTTCACATCCAGAAAAACGGAGGGAGGGAGAGAGAGGGGGGGGGGGGGGGGGGGGGGGAGAGAGAGAGAGGGCAAGGGAGGGGGAGAGAGGGGAGAGAGAGAGAGAAAGACAGAAAGAAGAAGGTTTTCTTTTTTTTGTTGCCTCCTCCTGTTAACACAGACTAGATAAATCCTCCATGGCGCCCGAATGAATTGAGTCCACATCCATGAGGCGCGCGGCGGGGCGGCGGGAGCGACGGGACGGGCACACAGGTTGTCTCGCTCGCTCTTTAAATCCACTCTCTGACGAAAGAGTGACAGGGAGCCACGGAAAAGCTTCAAATCCACACCGCCTGCGGGCTGTATCCCCTCTTCATAAAAGAAATATCCCAGACCCCCCCGCTCCCCCCCACACACACCCGCCCGTCACTCCGTCAAAGCCGATCTCCTCCCGTGTCCCTTTCCTCCGCGTCTCTTGTGTAAACCAAAAAAAGAAAGAAAGAAAGTCCCCTCTGCGGTGTTTCTGCCCCCTCGGTGTCCCGATAACGTCCAGTGGTGTTTGTTTGTATTTATTTTAGTGGCCGTAAAACGCTCCTCTCATCCTCCCCATCAACTCGTGCGTCCGTCAATCCTTCCTCTCCTCCTGCCCCCTCACAAACAGCCGCGGGGAAAACGTTGCATCTTCGACCCTCCTGAAAGAAGACAAAATGAATCACTCTCCAGCGGGTTCCACCATTCATCTGACTTACTCCACTGTCACTCGTCCCTTTCCATCTCCTTACCAAACACGCGGAACCGGCGCTCGCTCGATGCGCGCAGGCACTTCACCGCTGCTTCTCCGTCCAAGTCCGACGAGGAACAGACGGAATGACAACCCCCTCCCCCCCCTCCTCCTCTCCCCGTGGTGGTTGTCAGAAACCAAAGGAGACACGTATCACCCGCCTCCCCGCCTTGCCTGGTGGACTTGGTGGGTCTGCTCTCCCTGCTGGTGCGTCTCCTGCTTCTCCCCGCCAGTACGGAAATGCTGCCTTCGAGGGCTGCGCGTAATCTCCCGCTTCTAATCACGTGCTTTCTCCTCGGAAATCATAGCACTGTTTTAAAAAAAGTAGACTGTTGATGGGCTGCATGGTTCATTTGGAGCACGCAGAGGTACCGTCCCGGTCGTTCGGCTCGAAGTGCAGGGGCGTCCACACCGTCCCAGGGGAATGGGCGCACGCCCAAACTTGGGGGTGTCCAAATCGGAGTGAAACAAGAGAGGAAGACAAAACCAAGTTCAAAGGGAGAGGAAAGGGACTGCCCTACAGCAGTTACCACACGTTGAGCACGTGTCCAATAGTCACACAGACCAACCAATTATGGTTTGTCCGGCACCGCTCATTGATCTACATGTCCGCTGAAACAAAATCAATACAGGGAAGACTTTGGGATCTGGTGGCACATGATCGACGCAGACGCGAATCCATTTGTTATGTGAAGTCGGGCTGTTGAGTTCTTCACGGAAACTACAGATTTTCTGGTCAATGTTTGTGATTGTTAAGCAGCGAGACGTTTTAGCTGTATGTTATCAACCCAAACCACCAGGAGCATGAGGAAATGCAGTAAACCGTCAACAGCGGTTGCCATATTCACATTTTATATGATCGTCCTACCAGCATTGATGCGTACCAACAGTCAGTTGTCAAAAACAGCTTCTTTTAGCTCCTCGTCCCCTTAATGTCACATCTTGGCAACTATGTGTTATCCTGAAAACCTGTTGGACCATTTTGCTCGTTGTGATTGCAGCATTGGTACGTTGTTGCAATCAAAACAGTATCTCATCCAAAACATACCGGCAGTGATGAGGGAAGATGTGAAGAATCCTGCCTTCGGTCACCTCCACCTCAGAGTACCATCACATATTTCCGTTTTTATTCAAAGCAGTATCGCAATGACAGTGATGTAATTGGCTCGTTTCCTTTTCCTTCATCAGTCTAACACACAGCCACCTCGTTCACGCTCTCAAAAGTACTGGGGCAAAGATTTAAACATTCTAGCTTTTAAAAGAGAGAATGGTGAGTGGCTATCAAGTCAATAACAACAACTATGAACTTAAACATGCTTGACATGAATAAAAGATCAGCCCGGGAATTACATACTCGCCAGCAGATAGCTTCATGGTTTAAGCCAACAGGAGCAACAAAGTGGCATGCTATTGTCATAAGATAACCAAATGTGCCACAACATCCAGGCATGTGTAAATTGTTGGACAATAAACAGTGAAATTCAAACAGTGGAATTTGAGGTGTGGGTTCTAAGATTTTAACAACTGAATGAACTGTCTTGTGTATGTATTTTTCCACATTCATCAATTTTTTATTTCCCCTCAGAGGAAGCCGTGGTATCAGAACCCATCTCTGACCATCCGTTTGTGGCTGCATGGCATGTGGTTTTGTTCCAACGTTATGAATGGACGGTCAGAGTCGGGGGGATGTTGAGTCTGAACTTCAGGCTGTTTGAGTTGGGAGAGATGTGAGCTGCTGGATGTAGTTATTGGAGATCTCACAGTTTGCACAAATGAGATCAAGAGTTTGAATTACATTGAATTTTAACTGCTTTGCCATCACTGACAGTGAATTAGCAGAAAATAACTGAACATTGTTTGATACGAGTTAATTTCATTTTATAGCATTTGTCAAATCGTGATTTTATTTTCTTGTCTTTAATTTAGGCAGTAATCAAAACAAATGTACTTAGCAAGCGCAATCCAAGCACTTTCCAAAAAGTACCCCAAAAGGAACTTAACATTTTCAACATCACTTTCGATTTGAATGAAGTTAAAGAGTGTTGTCACTGATCAGCCCCAAAGGGAAACATGCAAATCTCTTTTCTCATTTAGAAAACCAGTCATGTTATTGGTCAATTTCGTTTCCATGGCGTAATCAAAGTCCTCGACAGTGCCTCGTATTTGTTGACCACTCGTTCCCGTGTCTGAGTGCAGATTCAGTGTAATCTACAGCGTTTATGTGCTGGTGTGCTGAAGAGTGTTTGTCCAAAATCAGTCAATGCAATATCCTCACAGGTGTAGCCATATAAATGTGCCTGCGTGAGAGTTATCGACAATATGTGCGCGTGCGTGTGTGTGTGTTTGGGGCGTGCGGACACTGCTCCCACACAATCCCTTAAAGCACTCTTCTGCCATCTACAGGCACAGTCACTTTCCCCTCTTCTCCCTCCCTCTTTCTGCCCATCACGAACCCGGTGTTAATCATACCGGCATCATCTAAATATTCCCTGCACGCCTCGGGAGCGTTCATGCTGTGCACACCGTCTGTACGGATGTGCCTCGCTCCACACGTGTATCAAATCCGCTGTGTGCAGATTTGTGGGCCATGCATCGACTGTACGTCTGGATGTTGCTTTTAGAAATCCATAAGCCATGTGTGAGGTCTGTGTCCCGTGAGAGAGAGAGAGAGGGGAGAGTGTGAGGAAGAGGGCAAGGGAGGGAGGGGGGTGTGAGGTGGAAGATATGGAAAGGGTGTGAAGGCGAGATGAGAGGGAATGCTATATGTATATAAGAGAAAGAGAGACCCAAGAGAGGGGACATGAGCAAAGAGATGAGGGAAGGCAGTGAAACCAAGAAGAGAGAGGCAAAGTGAGTATGAGACAAGCGAGTGAGGAAGAAAGGAGAGCTGAAAGGAGGAGAAACGGTCAGTAAAATGAAGAAAGAGACAGAAAAAAACAGGTGAAGGAAGAAATGGGGAGGTACAAGATGTAAAACATTCGGGCTAGAGAATTGTGGACAGGGAGTGAAGGGGCAGGGGGGAGGACAGAGGAGGGGGATGTGCCTACAAAATGAATGGAAATCCATGTGTGAAAGGGCGAGAGAAAGGTGAAGGAATGAGATGGTTGAGCTGGAGAGACTTGCATGAGTAAAACACTTCTCTGAATGCTTCTTTGCGGTCATCCTGAAAGGCAGATGTAATGTAGTGCAGCATGTCCTAGAAACCCAGGAAACTATAAGGTCCACTTTACATACTTGACTCATCCTACTGTATATTGAGCCTCAGCCAGTGCTGCCCACACTGCGAGCAGGTAGTGGCATCAGACTAATGTTGTTCACAGAACTGAACTCATCAACTTGACCCAATTTCCACGCACGTAGTTGTGCCACCGGCTCAAACCACATTCCACATTTTATTGTTTGCTTTTTATTTGGGTTCATTACTCTTGCAATTGCTCCGATCACACAGCAATCACTTTGTTTTTTAGGATTTGAGACGACACCACTCTTCTCTCAAGAAGTGCTTAAATCAATCTCCAACTGGTTCCTCGTACGCAACCCTTATTGCTGCAATTGTAGACGGCACAATGGAGCACGGCAAATGTGTGCAGGATCTTTTCATGCAGATGATGTTGCGTATTGGGTTTGACATCTCTGAGTTCTCCTGAGACGAGAGCGCACAACGCAGCAGGCAAAGCTTAAAGGGAAATCATTAGTGACCTACAAGAAAGAGCAGCACTGTCCTTGTGTCTCTGTGTAACGACAATTTAATATTTTCTGTCAAGCAAACACCTTTTGGAAAAACAGCTTCGCGACAGGATGGCAGCATGAGTTGAGGGATGGTATAAGGCGTTGTCGAGGGGAAATTTCTTTTGAATACTTTGAGTTTGATGCTATAATTATGAAACTGGCAACTGTCGAATCTTCAGACACGCAGCAAATTGCTTCGTGAAGTGCGCATAAACTGCAGATTGCTCGATTCAGAAATTTAAAGCAGTTCACAAATCACCAATTTGGGTTTCAGACCCCATTTTACTTCTGAGCAGTTCAGAAGGCACAGTCCACTTTTCACCGTCAGTTTTCCTTAATATTTCACATTTGAAAAGCAGTGAAATACGTACATAGAGCCCCACATTACAAACTGCATTGTGAGGGCAGTTTCAGATGTGAACTCTATCGCTCTAATCGTGTTCTCCCATTTATCCACCCACCAGACGAGTAAGATGCATTTACAGCAATGAACGACACTGGTAACAACCGTTGGTTGCTAAAGTTCTGTTGTCCACGGTAACAGGACCCACAATTCTTTGC